CTTCTAAACTAAAAAATCATATACAAGAGCTCGTTTAGATCCCTCGCAAAATCTGATTAGTCACACCACATTAACATGATGAACCCTTCCAATGTACTCAAATCTCTCCAAACTGGTTAAGTGTTTGACAAAATCAATGTATTACGGTTAATTCATATGAATTCAGTGACGCTTTTCTTTTGTAATATTTATTTTTTGAAATGTTTTGGCACATATGTGAGAGAAATGAATTTATTAGCCTTTGGATTCACCTAAAAAAGAACATTACTGTTCATGTAATAGAGGGTGATGGAGCATTAATCTATCTCTTGTTATCCAAAATGGAAACTGATATTGAGGCTTACACAGGAAGAAGGGACACAGTGCTTGCTCTGGCCTCCAGCAGCAAAACATCCGGAAATAGAAAACAGCAAGGGACATGAGGTCATTTGCTTAATTAATGAAATATTAAATAAGAGTCTATTTTGTAGTCTGGTATAATTCAGACTACAAAATAGTTTTTTGATTAAATAAAGCTCAACTATTGTATCAACAAAGTACTGTTATTTCATTTAGAGATCATATGTGAACGGATAACTCGGTAACACTTGGAAGTTTGATACATTCGAGTTGTAAAAAGGTCATTTACTTATAAACAATGCAAGATATGTAAACATATGCGATGCTTGCTATGTGTAAGCAAATCAAGGTAAGGCATTTGGAGTGCACCTCATGTTCTAGCATCAAGTGAAATAGGGCTGGCTGGGCTGCTTGACTTAAATTGACATTTATATTAACATGATTTGCAGTCTGCAATTCAGAAGGAACAAAAGAAGACTAGGGAGGCATTTCAGTAGCTCAGCTTCACTTTCAAGCGTCTCCAAGACTTTGCTCATTTAAGGACAAATGGCAGGTTTCATCCAGATGCACCACAAGGCAACCATGACAATCTTCCTCACAAGATTCTTTTCAATATCAGTAACATCTCCCAACTCTACATCCTCTGCCTGATCAAACTGCTCATAAATCCATGTTGGAAAGTATATCTGAGTAAGTGTACCTAATAGGCATGAAATTATTTTGTTTTTGTAGGAACTCTTCAATTATGTCATCCACAGACAGATGCCTCCTCTGAAGTTTGCATACAACTATCACAAGCAAGATGGATATCCCTTACAGGCAACAGAGCTCTAGTGAAAATAATTGCTCATTCTCAGGAAAAAACACAGACACAGATCAATATCTACAAAGTGTACCTTTTGACATTAGAAGTTGAAAAGGAACTGCATCAGATGTGAAAAATAGATCTACCATGGGATTTTATTAGATTTGTATGACTAACTTTATTCTAGATCATCAGAAAAGTTGTGTTCTCAGAATCAATGATGTTTTGGAAACCTAACTGTATTCTACAGTGCACAACTAAGACATCAACTTTAGTTACATTTTTCATAATAAATCACTCCTAATTAAAATCAGTAATATTTTCAATTTATTTAAAGCATTTATCAAATTATTCATGCATGGTTCCTAATTGAGAAACAATATAGTATAAACAATATGGTATAAAATGAGCAACAACTTATTGGTCCGAATAGAAAGATTTCAGTTCCCCTCAAGTAAGTTCTCACGTTCGAGTTTTGTGAAAGGAAAACAGGTACTAGGAGAGCTTTCCCACTTGTGGGGTTTAACACAGTTCAATTCTGGATTAGTCGGCTAATGTAACTTTTAGATATCAGGAGGTTAGTACCAAAAATAAAAATAAAAAAAGTATAAAATGGCCAAAAAAAATATAGCATAAACATAAAGAGTCTGTCAATGACGAATATCTTCAAGTTATAAAAACCAGGAGAGATGCAATAGAAGCTTTTCTCAGATTTTCTTATGTTCTAGAATTTGTGATACTTAATCTAATCCTACCATTCATGCCCATAAGTTAAATATTTTTCTAGAAATTTTCTTCTATTTGCACACATCATTGTTTTCAATATTTTATATGAACTACAAATATTTCAGATTCCTACATTAGTTGGGAAATTATACATAATGGTATACAAGTACTTTCAAATAAAACCTGACACATACCTGTTATTCCAAGACATTTAATATAAGTACCTGTTACCAAAAAAGAAAAAAAAAAAAAAAAGGCACCATGTTTACACATGAATGGTTAAATATTAGGAAGGAGAAAGCGAAATGAAATGAGTATAGTTCATCAGCACTACTAAAAGCATACTGTTTAGTGGAAAATTCGTGTTATCCTTTACATGGGGGCCACCCAGAAGCAACAATATAAAGCTGTCCAGACTATTCTAATTCATACTTCACTGGTCCTAATCTACAATGTTAAATAAAGCCTGGTTAAGTGATATCAAGGCAAAAACAAAGTAAAGAATGAAAGAATATTA